TGTTCCGATTCCATTTCGATAACAAGAACCAAGATGGCGTTGTCCTCTTGCATCACCACCCTCTGCTGATTTCAAATACCATTCAAATGCTTTTTTCTCATTTTGTTGTGTTCCTACACCATTTTGATAACACAAACCAAGACTAGATTGTCCACTAGCATTACCACCCTCCGCTGATTTCAGATACCACTCAAACGCTTTTTTCTCATCTTTTTGTGTTCCGATTCCATTTCGATAACAAGAACCAAGATGGCGTTGTCCTCTTGCATCACCACCCTCTGCTGATTTCAAATGCCATTCAAATGCTTTTTTCTTATCTTTTCGTGTTCCGATTCCATGGTAATAGGCACATCCTAGCAAGAATTGAGCTAAAGAATTGTTATCATTTGATAATTCTGCATAAATGTTCAATGCTAATACAACATTCTTTTCAACTATGAATCCAGTTTGAAAAAGGAACCCTAAAAGTAGCTTATATTGAGCATTAATTTCCAAATAGTTTCGAATTTCAAAGGAATGCTGACTGTATAAGTTATAACACGATTGTAGTTCAGCGCCTATTTTATCTAAATTTTCCCCTTTGCTGAGTAAATTATTTAATAGAGTCACTAACTCGTCAATAATTTTATAATAACCATTTGATATCTCCATCGAATTGTTTTTATTTTCCAATTCTAGCCGATTTTTCTCCGAATTGTTTTCATCATCTTCGGCGACTAAATTGATATCCAGAGTAATAGCATCTGAATAGTCTTTAACAGCTATAGCATCTGGTTCTTCTGAAGCTAAAGTAGACGAACCGGTTGGCCATTCTATTTCTTTAAGTAGTTTGTTTATTTCATAGATATCTGGACGATTCGTTGGTACATCATTATAGCATACTTGATAAAGCTTAACGTATTTATGTGGCGTTTTGCAGATGCTTTTTTCTGATGAAGAACAAAAAGTACACCCATGTTGGTAAATAGGAGGACGACCGCTGGAAATAACCCAAAATAGCACACCAAGGCTGAAAATGTCAGATTTATCATTCCGTCTATAGTTAGACGTATCTCTTAGAAATGCGGGATCGATATAATTTATTACGCTCAAATCTGTTTTCGAGTCATTTGAAAGCTTTGAATAGATTAAATCTGAAATTAGAATTTTTCCTTTATGAACAAGTATATTATCGTGATTCTATTAATAAATGTAAAATTCAACACTAGCGTTAGTATTTATAAATTAGACTCGCTATACTGATACATACTGAAAATCTATACAACTTACTAAATCTCGATGAATTATGCCTGCATCATGTATACACTTTACTCCTTTAGCGAGTTGTTTAGCAAAATTCAATTTATCATTGCCACTCATTTTAGTGAAGTTAGTGTTTAAATATTCCATCAGGGTTCCGTCGTTAGCATATTTCGAAACAAGCATGCATCTCTCAGAAATCGGATCTAAAGAACATTTTTTATTAGAGAAATTAAAAATAGATAAAAAAAAATAATATAGTTTACCTTGGGTGATTCCGTAAAAGCTGGCAATGTTTTTATGATAATTAATTTGAATATGAATTTTTAACTATAGAATGAGGAATTATTAATACTAGCAAGGCATAAGTGGATTTTTTCAACTTTTAAATAAACGATACCTCTTCAATAAATTGTTTGCTAATTTCTTTATTTTTTATGTAAAGGCATTTTAAAGCAATAGTTATATCTTCGTCTTTTAATTCGGCTTTATAGACTTCACCGAACGCTCCATTGCCGATTACTTCTTTTACAGAAAACTTATCAAAATCAAAAAATTTTATTTGTTTTTCTAATTTAACGTATTTCAGGAAGTCATTCGTAGTATGCGAAGATGACATTTTGGAATTGTTTTTGTTGTCATGTATTCCGTGAAAAAAGCTATCGCTATCGCTATGTACATGTACCGGAACATGTATTCCTTAAATCCGGTCACACGATCAGTCACATGTAAGCCAAAAACGAACGCGAAGTCGTACATAATGGAAAAGGTAATCGTACTGTTACGTTTTAAATGTTGGTGCCTTTTGATCAAAATAACATTAACGTCAACGTTAACATAGTCAATTACCTCACTCGGGAGATTAAGCTTATAAAATTACACCTTTTCAAATAAATAAAGCTTCATACACGCGAAAGATAAATTATCATGATCTGTTTCACCATTAAATGAGGTACAAAGCACACGTTCTCATATATCTATTCATATTCAATGCGAAGGTGTGAAAATTAAAAAAGGAAAGCACTCTAGAAGATATTTTCGATTCTCGAGTACAAATTACGACGATAACGACGACGACGACAACAGCGGCGATGACATAACTGATCTTTGGCTTTCCCTTTTCATTGGAATAGTTGAGACACTGGGTGGTAAAGATAATACAAGTATTGTCATCAGATTGAGATTCTGTATCCATTTCACTACATGTCAATATCAGTTACTTTTGGCATTAGTATCACTATTCAGAGTTATTAAACTCTATTAGCAATAGTGATAGATTCTTGGTTATTATCAATATTGATATTTTTCGTGCATTGTAACGTTTACCATGTTTTTTCCAATAATTCTAAGAATCGATTCCTATCCCTAGCATAGCGATAGCGAGTACGTATCATTAATCTGAAATCGCCTCCCAACAGCTCACTGATAAGCGTCATTTCAATGCTTCTCACGTATATACGTTTTTTTACAGCTCCATAGAATCTCTGGTGTCTCTTCGCGCGTGAAATTGTTTCCCTTTACAAAAACCGTCAACACTAATCAACTTTTACTAAAAAATAATAATTTAACGAACTCCCGATATCTATTCATAGCTATGGTGGAAGTCTTCCGGGAAAAAAGACTGACGCAGTACGAAGACATTAGTTTTGATCACTGTGATAGGAAACATTAAATCAGTAATGAAGATATTATATATTTTTCATGAATCAAAGATTTCTAATTATTTCTCTATGCTATACACTTAATCTTCCTGTTTAAAAAAAGAATTTCTTAGAACAAAATAGATATCTTTCTTTATTCTGAAATTGTGCATATAAGAAAAACAAATAAACAATAATAATAGAAGACACAAAATGCCTCTGATCCCACTATAACTTCTTATTCCGCTAATTGATAAAGATGGTTCTGCGTCAAAATTTCGAACTGAGTGCCATTCTCTAAAGTCTTTGACTCGACTGTAACTCCTTTAGTTTCACCGATTCCCCATCTATGTATCGCTAATTTATTTAAAATTAAAGAAATGATCGTGCATTAAAATAAAAAATTTATTCTATAAAAACCTAAAAAGTAAAATACCTGTAGCAAGAGTCTCGACATTTATATAATATTTCATTCTAAACAATTTCATGGCACCGATAGCCACACCCAGAGTTATATTATGAATCAATCCACGGTCGGCACGTTTTTCATTAACTTCTAAAAAACCTGGTTGAAAGATAGAAACGCGAGAAAACCCGATTTCTCCCAATTCTTTTTCTATTTCACCTTTTGTTCGACTGTATAGTATCATGGAATTAGCGTTTGCGCCACCCGAAGAGCAATAAAGATAATGGATTGGTCGATTGGGATTTTGTGCGCGTATTAATTTTGCAGAGTTTATTACATAGCCTTTGTCGATGGCCACAAAACGTTCAGCTGAACCAGCATTTGCACGTGTAGTACCTAATGTACAGAATACAACACTTATACGACCAAGTGTGATACATGTATATAATATTCAGCAATTTAACAACCAATCAATTTTGACAGCTTGAGAAACGAACTTACTCGTAACCCACAAATGCTTCTTTATGCTGCTCTAAATTTTCAAAATCCACTAATTTTTGTTCCTTTTAGAGCGGTTAATTAGTTTTTAAGAAATTGATAAATTTAATTAACGATAATAATTTTACCAATTTTTCTTTATTCGGCCCATCATATGCTATCTCTTTACGTCCAACAGAAATTACTTTTGCAAATCTTTCAGATTGCAAAATGTTACGAAGAAGAGGTTTGCCGGTGGCACCTGAGAATTTCGGTTAAATTTTAGTATTGAACTTTCATAAGAGTCATAACTAAAAAAATTACCCGAAGCGCCCAAAATTAACGCCGTAGACATTATCGTTAAAGATGTTGATCGTTATTACCGTTACAAAAATAAAATTCTGTTACAGTTGCGGTACGGTAGAGTACATGTACGTACATTTATCGTTATTAACAAAACTAGCTTGTTACACATGTGCATACATTTGGATGTATTTTTTGTTTGTATTACATGTACATGTAGGAATGATTTTTTGCAATTTCATCTCTTCAAGTTCCTTTAATTTCTTCTTTTCTTGTATATGACACTTTAATTTCTTCATGTGTTTTTGAAGAGTTATAGTACTGAAAATACAATGTATTTAGTTTATAGTATGCTTGAACGTAGATAAAGTCGTAAAGTTTCTCAACAGTTGGTCTGCTTTTTGGATTATGATCCCAACACTTTGCCGTAATAAATCTGCACCATCCAAGAACTAGGAAATTCGGAATTCCTTTAAAGGTTTACAAAAAATACCACTAGTGTACCAACCCTTTTCTGCCTGTGAAAATGACTTATTTTACAGAATTGATAGCATTTTTGTGTTGTCATTTCATTGATTACGTTCGTTTGCGAATTATAGTTATTAAAAATTCAATTGTCTTTTGTGAGTTAAGTGCCTAAATACAACCTCACATGTCATTAGTAGTCAAATTGCTGAAATTTTTTGATTTTCAATTTGCTTCAAATTCAGCCTCCAAATTATGTTAATTCTGGGATTAATAAGCGATATTATTTTTATAAATTATCTAATCAGATAAGATATAATACTTGCATAAGTTATATAAGATATTTTGATTTTCCAAGAAAATTTAATTTCAAACATTCTTCCTTCAATATATTATTACAACCGAAATTTCTTACATTATTCTCAGATATTTTGAATGTGTTTTTCGCTATTTCAATTTCATTGCAGTCAATAGTAAATGATTGGTAAAGCTGTTTGTCATTTATTTGCTCTCTTTATTCTTACTTGATAAAAATTACTCATTCTGGATAATAAAGATTATGAACTGTCAAAAAATCAATATTACACATTTCAATCAAAATTACAAAGGTCAATTTATTATTACTGATTTACACGATTATATAACTCGATTATTTGAAAACAAATTTCGTAATTTAAAAATATGAAGTGATTTTGTTTGTTCTATATAGAGGCTGACTTTAGACCCCTTGCACTATACTATTAATAATTATATTCGTTAATATTATCACCTTCTCAAAGATTTGTTGAATAGAGCTATAATCAAATCGTCTACATATTCACTTTAACATATCGATATGGCATCCCCGAGTAAATAATAATAAAACAGACATTACAATCTTTTACGTATGCAATTTGCGTGTTCATATGTTTATATGAGCCTGAAAATGAAGTATTTACGAATGTAATCGACTTTTGCAAGATTAAAATAGACAAAAGCTACTATAAATGTACAATTAAAAAAATATAAAAAAATATAAATAAGACCTATAAGCTTACCGCATTTAATAATTTTCACCCAAGTTCGGACGAGTGGTGCAAATTTGAAATCAGCCCAGCAAAACAAATCCAACACAAGAAAAAGAAAAATACAGAATACAGATGCCAAAATCTTGCTTGGAGTAATAAAAAATGTTGAAGGGTTAATCTTATATATAATTTTAACTCAAATCCTAACTATAATGTTAGTAATAAAAGCAATCTTAAACGTTAATTTTATTACAATAGAATTTTCCGGGTGCTAGGAAAACATGCAATTAGTTTCGACCAATTAACGATGGATTTTACCTGTATCCAATCAGAACTTGGGAAAAATTAGCGTTAGCGTTAGTAAACGCTACCTAAATTACGTAATGCATGTTGTTGGATTTCTGTGCCATTTTCATGCATAATAAATAAATCATCGGTTTTAAACTCAAATATGGCACATGATAGTAGTAATAATTGAGTCGATTGTAAACAATGGGATTACTGCGAAAAGTGTTCAGTTCACGATATTCACGATTGTAGTAATGTACCAAATGTCAAAAAAATGAGTACTGTTATGGATGTTTTCTATATCACAAACGAATTATGTTAAATGGTCTAGTGGAAACAAATATATCGACTGTCTAATAAATGAATGTGACAGAATTGCTGATAAATACAGTTTATTCGAATGGATCCCTTTAGAAAGATTTACCAATGTTGAATATCTTGCAAAAGGAGGTATTGGATCAATTTATAAAGCAACCTGGCCTGGTTGGACGGACCACTAACTGGGAAATGGGATCATGTAGAAAATCCGACGTTGTGTTGAAAGCATCACACAATTCAAAACAAATTACATCTGAGTTTATAAATGAGGTAAAATGATCACCTTTTAAAGTGTAAGCATATTGCTTTTTTGTTTCTCAATTTTTTAAAATTTTTAGATTCAGATTGCTCTAAAGTGCAATGATGATCTCTTTATTTATGGAATAAGTTATTATCGTTATGGAATAACTAAAAACTCAGCTACAAATGAATACTCGATAGTGATGCAAAAGATGGCGATCTACGCAAATATATAAATTCCAACTACGAAACATTGACTTGGAAACATAAAATATTTAGTTAATATCACTCGAGAATTGAATATAATTCACAATGAGAAATTTGTGCATCAGGACTTTCCCCAGAAATATATAAAGCTGTTCATATTGCTGATTTTGGACTTATCAAACCAGTAAATATAGCGGAGTACTTTCTTATATGAGTCCAGAGGTACTAAATGGAAAACCATACACTAAAGCTGCAGATATTTATAGTTTCGAAATGATAGTGTATGAGATTATCACAAAATAGCGACCAATTGGTGGACAGAGTCATGGTATAGAACTCGTATTAGACATCTATAACGGAGTACGACCTATGATACCAAATAATGTTCCTAAATTATTCAAGTTTATTATTGAAAAATGTTGGGGTCCTATTCCAGAAACAGACCAACTGTGCGGGAACTTTTTGTGTTTCTCAAATCTATCTGGATAGGAGGAAGTGACTGGGAACTGAATACTTTGCATTTTCAGTATTACAGCTCCTTAAAAATCTTAAAACACTTGAAGAAATTAAAGAGTGTTTCAAACTGGAAAGGCAGAAATGGAAAGAACTTGATAAGGAGATGAAATTAAAAAAGAGCATTCGTACAAATACGAACAAAAAAACAAGTAATCCACTCCAATGCAGTTTACACCAGTTGAGTCTTTACCACAAAACTAATTTCAATTCCAACTGAGACAGGTACTTTTATTTTGAAATATAATTCATATTAACTTTTAATATTACTTAGATTCATATCGAATTTTTAGGGTTGACAAGCGTCAGTTTGTTTGTTCCAAATGAAGGTAAAATTATTTTTTTTATTAACCTAATTAATTCGTTTTTTGTGGTTCAAAACAGATTTCGACTTTAGTATCCCACATGAAACCAAAGAGAATGAAGAGTTATCGAGTGATTTGCAAGAAAAATGATGAAATACTTCTGCTCTTTATTAAATGAAATGAAATTACATGCCTTTATATACATGTAATTTTTTTAATTTATTAGCATCAAAAACTTTAACATTTGAACAATCAGTGTCTTTAGGAAGTAACGAGAACAATAATAGAAGAACGAATTATAATTCACCAATAGATTCATTCTTCCACAACCCGAAAACATCGTTTGGAGTCAACAAGTGCAATTCCTCCTTCATCCGAAAATAAGACAAATTCATTTATGCTAGATCACTATATGTACATGTACGTACGTACATGTATTTAATTAATCGCATGCTTTTTGCATTACATGTATTAGACTTTGGGGTGAAAAAATCAAAATATTTTCAAAGAAAACCATCAATAACCGACGTAGAAACATTTTAGTAGGCGATGCAGGTGGTTTAAATACATAAATGACCAATAGAAGTATATTATTTAAATCTATATTAAAAAGAATAGTTTATAGTAAGGTCACTTAAAATAGAGTATGAGTTACCTAAAAAATAGAGTATGGATTACTTAAAATAAAAGTGTGGACTACTTAATGAAATAAGAATTGTCAAAAAGAAATTATAGCTTCATGTTAGCGCTAATGACAAGAACCGTGTGTAAATTAATCAGATGAAGACTACAATTTTAAAAAAGGAATAAAGAGTGATTTTAATCATGAATAAGAAAAATATAACAAAATTTAAAAGTTATAGTAAACTTGACAAAACGAATATTCACTAATCCCCGGACCAATTTGGCTTATTGAGTTTCACTTGTTTCTGCTTTCATGCCATAAAAACAGAATACCTTTATATACATTTTATACTTTGATCCTTCTACAATAAATTGCTTCAGCATTTTTTCATATTCGTAATTGTCAACACCCAACACCATTTTCAATGCGACCTGTAAAGATTTTAATCCTCCTGCGATAGTTTCAAGTACCTATAAAAGTCATAGTCAAATGTAACAATTAGCGTCATAACCAAACCAGTGGAAATATTTATATGAATAATGCATTATTCTTTTTTTCGATTACCTTTATTCCCCGTGATGTTTCCTGCCAGTTTCCAAGCGGAATTATTTTTTCAATGCTTTCTATTGATGTGAATTTATTTGTGTCTGCCATAATTTTTGGGATTTGTAAATGAATTTTGGGATTTATTCCGTTTAAACTCAAATGTTGCTGTGCTATTAATATGAATATATATTTTAAAGATTAGTATGGAATGGTATTTGAATTATAAAATATTCGTACATACCAGCATCACTTAATTTTTTAGCGATTGGACCAGGATTATAAATTTTTGCTTGGAATTCCTGTTAAATAAAAATGAGTAATTTCATTTTTTGAAATGAGTATCAAATTTTTAAGAATGCTATTTACCGTCAATTCTATCCATCCGCCTGTTTTTGTAACTCTTATTAATTCATCTACTAATGTTATCCATTGGCTTTCAGTAAAAGCTGCCCATAAGAATCGCTGATATATGAAATCAAAAGTTTCACTGTTATAAAAACAATATACAGTACATGAAATTAAAAAGCTATTTTTGGCAGTAAATTTTCAATTTATATAATAAATTTACTTTGGAAATAGTATCCCATTTAATAAATTGAATTGAAGAAGCTCGGCATTTGAGGGTCGTATATTGATTGGTGCCACTTCAATTACATCGACACCCACAAATGTTGATGCAGGATATTCGTTAGCCATGTCGAGAGTCCAACTACCTACTCCGCAACTATTCAATTGTGTTAATTAATAGTCTAAAGATAGCAAAAATTAATTAACTCACCCAGAATCAAGGACTCTCATTCCTTGCTTTAACCTTTCATGTATTGGAGACGAGAAATTACCATTCCACACTTCTTTAAATATATAATGTTGCATATGAAGACGCTTTTTTTCTGGAGCATCACAAGGCATAGGATATCGTTTATTATCCATCCGAAAAACGCGTCCATCAATCATTTGATAAGTTTGGAAAACTTCAAAGCTCTCGCGTTCACCTTCCCTTCTGAATATAATTGGTCTATTGCTGAATGAACTTTGCGAGGTTTGGTTAAGCAATAATTTTCTTTTTTTGGGTTTAATAATAAGATTACCCATCTTAATTGATGTGAAAAATAACTCGAAAATGTTCTTTTGATTCGAGTGAATTACAATGAATGAAATTTATTTTTCGAAAATTGGCAAATAAAAAAACTAGATCAACTAAAAAGACTTGGTATGACACTTCAATCACTTTTTATCTTTTTTACAAGCCTTGTGTTGCAACATGTCGCAATTGAGTGAAACGCCAGCTTTAATGTGAATATTAAAGATGGAGTCGCAATAGGTTCATTTTGACCAACACAGTCGATACGGATGAATTCTATTTTTAATTAAACTGCATTATCCATCTTCAATGAAAAATCCTTGTGAACCCATTGCAAACTGCAAACACTAAATATATGTAGATTATTAGTAAAACAAAGACACCAAGAAATTATGATTCTCGTATCTATGATTGGTTGATATTCACCCAAGTGAGGTCACAATAATTACCTCTAAATAAGAAGACATTATCAAACCCGTGTACCTTGTTGTTTGCTTTCTGCAACAAACAAAAAAGATTAGTTTATTGTAGTGTTGCAGCATAAAATCCTATCTCTGAATGAACATGATGTTTACACAATACCTACGTACGTATGTATACGTATTATTGGCGAAACCTTAGCACTATATCATAGTACATGTACATGTACATGTACATTTATAACAATAAATGCTGAATGACAACAATGCACATACTGTAGTACCTTCACTGATTCTAGAAGCATACTGTGCATCTTTGTAGCTGATATAGAATCTCAAAGCATAGCAAAAGAATGATGCACGTTGAGAAATTGTAAATTGATTCATTCCTGTGCACAGTAGTTTCAATGTCTAATTAAAGCGGTTCTATTACAGAATACGTAACATCTAAACACATCAATAAATTGAACTTTAACAATAGAACGAGCCCTTATCGATCATATTTACTAATCAGATCTTGTATTTGCTTGGTCAAAAAAATTATCGAATTTATCAAATCTAATCTATTGATGAGTTTAGATATTATGTTACCTTATTCTAACAAAGAACAGTGTTATTATTTCATTTTAGTGCTTCATCATGAATTTGTAGTTTTTTCTTGCAAGACACTTGATATCTCTCTTTATTCTCAACAACATTAAAATGCAAAAATAACACTATGTGGCAAAAAGTGAAATTTGGAGATGTTGATCGATTTAGAGATTATCAGCTTAGAATTTAATATTTTGCACAAAAAATTGGTCGTTTTAGAGAGATTTGACGGTATTAAATGTAAGTTACCATTAGGAATATACAAGTTATTTAAGTATAATGTACTTGTATAATTGGAGTAAATTTTTATACTCGTAGGAATGCTTTTTTTATATATATTATGCGGGTCGAGCAAAAATCCTCGGTTCGCCCGCCCGTTGGTAAAATTATCAGCCCACCTCGACCCGCTGACATGGTGTAAAGATTTAATATAATTGTACGATTTAGCATTAGCGTTAAAACTAAGGCTATTAGAGATTACCAAATAATCACGTGAACGTCGAGCATATTTCGCAGATATGATTGGTTCAATCAATATCAATATGGTGCGTAACATCAAAACCTTTGTATTTAATAAAATGGATAAACTTCTTTACTAAGACGTAAATACAAAATTTAATCCGTGAATATGCTCAGAAAGGGCATATTCTAACGGATTAAATTTTGTATCTACTTCTTAGTAAAGAAGTTTATCCATTTTGTAAAATACAATGTTTGATGACTTTAGATGTTAGGCAACATAGACCTTAGGGTCAATCAGCCCTAAGTGAAATATTCGGCCCGTCTGGCATTACTGTTACGTCCTTATCAAGTTTTTCTAATCTTTGCCTTTTTAATTTAATACACTCAATAACTTCTTTATAGCTGTAGTACTGAAATTGAAAATCATTCAGTTCTGTTTTCTGGAATAGAATCCCGACATTTCAATAATAAATTTGTACCATCCAAGAACAGCATTTATAATATTAGGTTTTCCTCCTTTATAGATGTCGTAAACAAAAATATATATCATGACTTGTTCACCGAATGGCTGTTTACCTGTTACGATTTCGTAATAAATATTTGCGTGGCTTTTCATTTAGCACCTCTTGACTGACTGATATAAAGAAGCACATCGTAAATCTCTTTTTTCGTTATATATGCTGAGCCAAAATCGGTAATGAAAAAATTAATATGCAATAATATATCTCCGGGGTGAAAGTTAATCCTCTTGATGAATTCTTTCCGGATTTTATTACACAAAATAATAAATCAATTTTCTTGCCAATTCAATATTCATAATAAATTTGCGAAAAATGCTATATGTTGTATAGCATTCATTTGTAGCTGAATTTTTAGCTATTCCATAACGATATTAATTAAGATCAAAACTGCGCTTTAGAACAGTCTGAATCTATTTTTGAAAAACTTAATTGTATTAGAAAACAAAAAAAATGCCTTGATGATTTCAACACAATTTCTTTTGTACATTACGTCTTTAAATTTATTTTCTTCATGGTCCCACCCGTCATAATCATGCAATCATATCATTCTTTATAAATTGATCAAACCCTCCTTTGCAAGGCATTCAGCACTGGTAAATGTTTCAAAAGGATAAAACTCCTCTTAATTTCGAGTATTTTTAATTAACTATCGATATCTTTTTTATTTTCAGCTTTTAAAGGTAATAATATACACATTTATGGCAGTTCTCATGTTTTCGACAGCGAGTACATTTACTACAAGCTGTACAATTTATCTTCTTAGACAATAAGCACTTCTACTACAATCATGAGTATAACAATTTGAATAATACGCCAACCATGAATAATCGAGTCTTGAGCAGAGCTATCTGAAGTTAAGAATAAAAATCGATTCTCAGTTCAAAATCCATTTCAATGATTTCGATTGCTCAATTAATTGTTTTAAATACAAATTACGATATAATAAGATAATAATACACGGGTGTGCAATAAAAACGGTGTAAATTGTAGTAGAATTTACTATACAATTTACACCGTTTCTATTACATTCATATGAGAAACATTTTCTAAGAAATGAAAAACTTTTTTTGTTGCACTACCGCTACGCATAACGTTAATCGATTTTGAAGAACAAATCGAATCGATTCTATCGCTGTCGCTAATCTGGATTTACTTTATTTAGCGTTAGCGTTGTCGTTAGTGATATCGATATAACGAAACACGAAAATTAACTTACTAGAATTTTTATTTCCATGACTATTACAGTCAAACCTCATTATAGTGCAGGTGTTCGGGCTATTAGTGAAAAATTTTCAGAAATTCACTATATCGAGAGGATTTAATATATACTGTTTTGGAGCTCAACTTTACTATATTGGGAGTTTAATTAGTCCTTCACTATATCGAGAGTTGACTGTAGTTTGAACAAAATAAAAGTGTTCATTTGAAACATTGAAACCTCTAGCATTTTTAAAAATAATTTGACAACAGAATATTTTGTGAAATAAAGTGATTTAAATCAAAATTTACAATTAATAAATTTCTCATATTGAACAACTTATTTTCAAAGACAGATCCTAATTTAAACCACTAATTAAAAACGTTCTGCTCTATGAAGTCTACCTATTTACCAATTTTCATAAAAATTAGCCCAAAATTCACCGAGATTTGAGACCCCGAAGGATCGAATCAATGCTACACTCGGTGGAATTAAGTCACAGGACACTTTTTTTGAGAAATAATAGTGGGAAAAAACTTGTACATGTATTAGTGTTCTAAATACATAAATTTGAAATGTTTTGTAGTATGTTGTACTGAAATTTCAAAAAGGTATGAAATATTATATTTAAAAATACTTTTTTTGTGCAAAGCATTTTCACTATAACTTTATTAATTATAATTAAAAATAATTTTTAGTATAACATACTTCAAAATATGCGGCATTCATTCAATTATAACATCAAAACATATTTTTTCATTAGTTCCATCACCATTATTTCATGAGGTATAAAATATATATTTTTTTAAAGAGTGATTGAAAAAACTTGAAGATTAAAATTGCATATTTAAGAATATTTTGAATCTTCAACATAGAACAGCTATATGAGTTTTTCATTATTATTTTCATTAGTTACTGCGTTATTTATTTAATTACGTATGTCCAGATCATTTATCTATGCATTCGTACGTAATTTAGTTATAACTTTTTAGACAGTGATAAAAAACTTGAAATTTTAATATTATAAAATTACAAGCTTAAAATATAAAGCATAATTTTTCATTAATCTTGCACTATCAATGAAGTTATAATGATATACTTTTTTTCGTGCAAATTATTGGTTTTTTTAAATATCATATGCTATAACTTTTTTTGTGGATGATTAAAAAGACTTAAAATCTAGTATAACATATTCAGAATATGTTGATTCTATGCTTAGAACACTAGTACAAGTTTTTTCCCACTATTATTCCTCGAAAAAAGTGTCCGGCGACTTTATTCCACCGAGTGTAGCATTGATTCGATCCTTCGGATTCTCAAATCTCGGTGAATTTTCGGCTAATTTTTATGAAAATTGGTAAATAGGTAGATTTCATAGAGTAGAACATTTTAATTAGTGGTCCAAATTTGAATTCGTCATAGAAAAAAAATTTTGCTACATGAGAAATTTACTAATTGTAAATTTTATTAAATCACTTTATTTCACAAAATATTCTGTTGTCAAATTATTTTTAAAAAATGCTAGAGGCTTCAATGTTTCAAATGAACACTTATATTTTGTTCAAACTACATGTAATAGTCATGGAAATAAAAATTCTAGAAAGTTAATTTTCGTGTTCCGTTACATGTACGTACGTATAGCAAAAAATGATGAATTGTATGTAAAATCAATTTCTGTGTTACGTTAACATTAACCTACAATTCAGGTTTTACTACGTAAATTACATGCATTTGTTACGTTATACATGTACATTTTGGACTGGTCCAATACTACGTATGCCACATGATACAAGAACCACGCGTAAAGTAATCAACTGAAG